GAGGCTGTGATTGCGCTGCCACGGGCTCTTTAAACAATCATATCTCCGTCAATTTTATTTTGACAACAAAAAAAACAAAAAAACCAATTTGTTTGTCAGAAACTTACCTAAATTTTTAAATCGTACACTTTTATACCTATCTGTCGTCATTTTTGAGATATTATGAAAAAGAAGTGGGTTTTTTAAAAATTTGAAATTTTGGATTTTCTTCTAATCGCGACTTTTTTGAAAAATATGGGTCCTGAAGCAGCCAAACTGATACTATCTATCAAACTCTTCATAATAAAGTTAATTCTAGGAGGAAGCAGCCAAACTGATACTATCTATCAAACTCTTCATAATAAAGTTAATTCTAGGTGGAATACGATTAATTTTAATTTTGGTGGAAATTGTAATTGTAAGTGTATTAGAATGCATAAAAAGCATCTGCTCGCCGCTAGATGGCATTGACCACATCGATTAAATTTCAGACAAAATAAAAAACGGCTTTGATCTTTAATATCTAGCTTAATATTGCACTTAGAATACTTTATAAAAAACCAAATTGTTCATTGTTTTAACTGCAACAATTTTGTTCTTTATAAAATTTTAGATAAAACTTAATTTTTTGGAGATATTTGCAAAAAACCGATGAAAAACGGGAAAAACTTTCGAATTTTCAATTGCCAATATCTTGAAAAGTATTCATGTTTTGGAAAAACTTTATAGATGATTTTTTGCTTAAAATTAGGCTTTCTATCGATATCCGAGGTTATTTTGAAAAAAAATAATTCACCACCGAGAAGGGGTGGCAACCACCCCCAGGGTGGTTGCGGAGTTCAAATCATTTTCACTTTTGAAGTTAAGGGTAAGATGAACCTAATTCCAAAATTGTATGCAATTCGGTTCACAGTAAAAAAATTCGGACCAATAATGCTTCAATGACTGCACTAAACAGATTTTACATGATTCCTTGACACGAGACGGCATTTTTTTATAATTCTGTAGGAGCAGTTGTACGTTTCACTGCCGCTGTCACACGGGCAGTGTTGCCAACTCTACGTCTTTTTACGTAGATCTACGTATTTTACGCCTTTTCTGCAAACCTACTAATTTCAGTTCCATAATCTACGTATTTTCTTTTAAATTGTACAAATTTGCAAAATAACAACTAACTAGAGTCTAGAAGAAATAATGAAGCATATTTTCCGTAACTTTACTTAAGAATTATACATATGTCTATTTCTTATATTTTTTTTTTTTTTTTTTTTTTTGGAATGAGGAACCTAGATACATCGGTTTCACTTCATAAAATTAGAACATGGCTGTAGTAATTTAATTTGATAAATAGTATTTTAGTCTATACTTTTGAGACACTGAAAACTTGATTGTGACGTCACAAAATGTGTAAACAACTAAACGTCATTGTCGTGTTTCTTTCGTCGGACTAAAATATATCTAAAAACTCTTTTGTCTTGTAGAATATTTCAATTTATTGGTTTCGTTGACTAAATTAATGCTGAACGCTGCATCCGCCGATTTGTGAAAGCAGTAACCTTAATTTTTTTATTTTTAAATTTTAAATATTAATCAATGAGTACTTACATCGAAGTGATCTTTGCAAAAAAATAACTGTCAGTCCATAAAGTAACAGGATTTAGCAAGTTTTAAAAAAAACTATATATAATTTTTTCGGTCTAATAGAACAATTATTATTAACCATTTTTAAACATATTTTCAAAAAGTTTCAAGTTTAGTTTAGTTAAGTTCAGTATTTTAGAAAATTGGGGCAACATATTTGGTACATTTTAGCGATTCCCTTTTTTTATTTATACAGACAGATCCAGTCCCAACCACAATCCGCTTCCCGTTTACACGTAAATTATGAAAAAAAAATCGTGGATATTTAAATACACAAAAAACCGACCAAAACGAACAATAAACCGATCCAAATATAAAATTGATTTAAATTTACAGCTCACTATGTATGAGTATTTTAAGCAATTTTTTATATTTTTTTACGTTTTCGGAATTTTTAATCTCTAGAGGTAATTTATTGTAAAAGTTGACTCCTTCAAAAGTTATGTTCCTTCTACCATAATTAACTGTCCTTGGCAAAGGCAGCCATAGTTTGTTCTTATTTCTTAAATTATGTTTAAATTGCCTTTGTGGAATATTTATATTAGTGTGTATTGTTTTTGTTATATTTTTTTTTATTAAGATACATACGTTGTACTTGAAGAGTTGTTCGATATTAAATAATTTAGTTTTTTTATATAGAAATTTTGTGTTTGTACGGAAATTCATGTGAAACAAAACTTTGATAATTTTATTTTGTAATATTTGTAAATGTTTCAATGTGGTCTTTGAAGCCGATCCCCAGATCTCGATCAAATATTGTAGATTTGATCTTACTAATGCATTATATAAGGCAACACGAGCCTTTTCTGGTATACAATATGATATTTTTCGTAATGATTGTAAGATTGGTCTCAACTTTTTTTCCACATGCTCGACATGTGGTTTCCACGTTAACTTATCAACAAGCCATAGTCCTAAGTACTTTTCTTCGTGTGATCAGTGAATTGGAATATTATTGATAGTAAGTGAAGCGTAATTTGATATTTTCTTGTTTTTTGCTGAAAAAATCATAAATGACGTTTTTGCTATATTTATAGTCAACAGAATATGTAAGTACCACATATGAAGCTTGTCAAGATCCCCTTGTGCCTTGGCAATGAGGTCATGTACATTGTTACCAAAATAAAAAAGGCACGTATCATCTGCGTACAAAGTTAGGTCACCAGATAGACTCATATTACTCAAATTATTGACGTAAATAAGGAATAACAAAGGTCCTAAAATTGAACCTTGAGGAATTCCAAAGGTAAGATTTTGGGGACTACTTGAGAAACAATCTATTTTCACGATTTGAGACCTATTTTCAAGATATGACTGTAAAATTTTAAGAGCAGAACCTGATATACCTATGTTGTTTAGTTTATGAATTAGTTTTAAATGACTTATTGGTGTCGATTCCGGCGTGATTCTCTAAACTTAAAACTAAATTTAACATCAGTCTCGCCTTTTCATTCTGTATAGAGAATGACAAGGATACACTGGTGTCAAATTTAAGTTTAGGTTTAGAGAATCAGGTCAGAATTGACACCTGTATCGAAAGCTTTTTTTAAATCTATAAATACTCCCAAAGCAATGAGTTTTTTGTCTATACTTGTTTTGATTTTGCTAATTAAGTCTACCAAAAGAGTACTAGATTTTGGACGAAAGCCATATTGGCATTCGGTGAAGAAATTTTTCTTATTTAGATATTCAAATAAACGGTTGTATATAATTCGCTCAAAAATTTTTGATATTACTGGAAGCACTGAGATCGGTCTATAGTTCCCGGGGTCGGTTTTAGTACCTGATTTGAAAATTGGGCTCACTTTTGCAATTTTTAGCGTGTCGGGAAAGGTGCCTTCTATCAGGCACTTATTGATGCAGCCAGTTAGATTTTCAAGTATTATTTCTTTTATGCATTTTATTGCTTTTGTACTTACTCTGTCAATCCCCTTACTTGTGCTACTATCGAGGCTATCTATAATTTTTGAAATTTCATTTACACTACATGGTCGGAATTCTGACAATGTTGCACTGTGCTTGTATTCATTATCATACATCAAGGTGTAAATATTGCTTCTGTGATATTTTATTGGGATTTCGTTAGCTAAATTACTACCTATAGTGGAGAAATAAGAATTAAATATTTCACAAAATTTACTTCCTTCATTTACAAGTTCCGTGTTCAGTATCAAACTTGGCAGGGCAACGTCTTCCTGTATCTTGTTTTTGGCCAAATTATTCAAAAGGTCCCACATTTTTCTGGAGTTATTGTAACATTTTTTGAAAGAATTATTTTAAAATTGCTTTTTAGTTGATTTGATAAGTTTATTAACACTCTTCTTAAAAGATTCAAAATAATTTTCATCGCCACCTCTCGTTTTTAGATCTCTCCATATTTGGTTGCGTTTGTTTATTTCCTCGAATATGTTTCTGTTGATCCAGTCGTCACGTGGGGCGTTCAATATTTTAGTTTTGGTCACCTTATTTGTATTTATGCTTTGTAGTATTATCCTTTCAAGTTGTGTGTATTCATTTTCTTCATTATTATCTTGTATTTCTGTGATTGTTTTATGAAGTCCACCATAATCCTGAGCTTCGTATTTAACATGTTTTTTGTTCTGTATCTTTAATTTTGATATCTCAATAAATATTTGCTTGTGGTCAGAAAGTGATGAATCGATCAACGAAAAACCATACCCATGATTATTCATATCTGTGCATACATGATCCAAAATTGAATGTTTTGTAGAGGTTTCACGAGTACTATATTTTTTCGTGGTCTTATTCAAAACTTTATAACATAAATCCTTCATTGTCTCTAAATATTTCTTAGATATATTATCATTTTTTAATAAATTTATATTGAAATCCCCAAACACGACAGATCTTTTTCTTTTTTCCAGTTGTAAACTGTATGTTTCTAAAAACTTGTCAATATTCGTATCAGGTGGCTTGTAGACGGCGCCAATATTTAGAGAAAGTTTATTTATCTTAAGCCATAATAAATATATAAATAATGAATTCCATCTTCTACTAAACTTTCTGTCACTTCAAATTTAATTGTTTTGTGTATATAGATGGAGACTCCACCCCCTCTGCTGTCGCGCCTGTAGTTAAAAATGTGATTATACTTGGGTAATGTATAGAATTCAGCATCGGTATCTGATAGAATCCATGTTTCGACAAGTATTAGAATATGAAGTGTTGCAGGAAAGGCCTCAACGATGCATTTTATTTCGTCAAATTTTCCTGGGGAGCGTATGCTTCCAATGTTGGCGTAAAAAAAAATCTAAGCGATGAAGAAGTGACGGGTAGATCTTGATATTTATTTACTATATAATAATTTGTATTTTTGGATCGATCACTATTATTTGCATTGTTACAAAGTTGTGTGTTGGTTAGTTTTTTGGTAGATTATTTTGCAATATTTTCGGTATACCCTTGACATATTTTATGATTAATTTATTTTCTCCATTTTCTTCCCGACGTTTTAATTCTTCTCTGATAGATTGCAGGTACGTTTTTTGCGAAGGAGTTCGTTCAGAGTATAATTTAATATTATCTGACAGTTTTGATTTGTTACGTAATAACTGCTTTGGTATTTCAGTATTATCAAAACATAGCTTTAGGGCCCGGTCTTTACTGGAGTTATATTTGCCCAATCTAATGCATTTATTTGGTTTGGAACAGTTTGCATGTAACAGTTCTAGGGTCTTCATCACCATCTCATCATCATATTCACGTCTTGCGGAATAATTTTTATCATTTTTTTCCGGAATACCCACCATTATAATATTTTTCTCTCGCTCATTGTGGTCTTTAAGTTCCGATAATAAGCTTTCGTGGTTTGAAATAAGCGAATCTGGAAAATGTTGCTCACTATTTTGTCTGTTTTTTATATGAAATAGGTCTTTTTCGAGAACATTGACTTTTTCTTTTGTTTTAGCATATTCCGATTTAATTTCCTGCACTTCACTGGTTATTTTATTCGCTTTATGTGTTAAATTCTCTGATACTGACTTTATTGTTTTAATTTCCTCTCTCATTTCCGATATTTCTTGGCGTATCTTAGTAAGATTCTCGTTTTGTGTCTTACCAAATTCTCGGAAAAAATTCATCATCTCTGCACGAAAATCCAATAAATCTTGCTTGAGATCATGAACATGACTACGATCCTTCCGCTTTCTGGAGTTCATACGTTCCTCTTCATCACAACATGTGAATAGATTAGGCGTCGAGCCGCCGGCGCCCCCACTTTCGCTCATGAAAGTGGTATTAGGGTGTGTTCATGCATCGCAATCTTTTCACGGTAACGTCACAACATGCACACAACCACACCTCACTTATAAACCAATGATAACGTAAGAAATTTAAATCTTATCACTGACTCGCTGAGCATTTATTTCGCTTGCACTGATTAAGAGATTTTTTAAATATGTTTTTGTAAATATTGCACACGTCCGTTCGCTGCGCGCGCTCGCAGTTATAACTTCTTTATTTCACTCAGAAAAAAGTACGTAGATCTACGAACTTTTCATATGCAATTTTTACTAATTCTATGTAATTTTCTCATCGAGTCCACGCCTTTTTCAAAATCCGAGTTGGCAACACAGCACACGGGGTCAAATGGCAGCGGGTTGTCGGACCTGGTGCATTTGTGTGAGTGAAGATTAGTTAGTGTACAACAAACGAAATTGTAGGACCTTGCATGCTTCACATCATTTTATTTTGATGTTACATCTGTCTTTTTTTCAGGTCCGTATTTTGTAATATAAATAAATAAAAACACATTTTATTTTAATAAAAACTTTAATAAGTAAACATATAATAAATACGTATCCGTAAACAATCAAGTAGCAAATTCTTGCAACCCGAGTTGGCAGTGTATTACTTTTCTTTGTGTCGATTTTGGCATGATTTTCTAAACTTAAAACTAAATTTAACTGGTGTCAATTCAGGCGTGATTCTCTAAACTTAAAACTAAATTTAACATCAGTCTCTCCTTTTCATTCTGTATAGAGAATGACAAAGATATACAGCTGTCAAATTTAAGTTTAGGTTTAGAGAACCATGCTAGAATCGACACCATTCATGTCGATTCTGGCGTGATTCTCTAAACTTAAAACCAAATATAACATCCGTCTCTCCTTTTCATTATGTATAGAGAATAACAAGAATAAACTGGGACCAATTCTGGCGTTACATTCTCTAAACCTAAACTTAAAATTAGAGAGCTAATTTTAGTTTAGGTTTAGTGAATTGGTATTCTGAAATTGCGAACTAACTAAATTAAGATCACAAGTGACAGCTGAAAACGAACATCTAAATTGAATTCACAGATTAGGTAAAAGCATTGAACCGGTAATTATCGGTTCACTCAAATTAGCAATAAATACTTATTATTCAGTGATTTTGACTTATTTCAGTAATTCTTTGTTGTTCTTCATCATCTTTGAAATATGAAAACTTAACATAAGTTTGTTATTTTACTGTATGAGATATTATGAATCAATATTAAAGAGTGAATACTTGCCTACTCTGTGGTACTTAGGGTTTCTAGATTGGGAGTGTTTATCCTTGTTTTGGTGAAAAATATAAACTTGGAAAAATTAAATCTGCGGGGAGAACTTTAGGAATCATATTTTTTCTTAGAGCATGCCTAAGTTTTTTTTGGCAAAAGGATGGGGAAAGCCGCCACTTTTAAAATTAAATTTAAATATAGGTACCGACTAGATTTTGGTAGCTACCTAACAAATCTATTAAGGATGATCAGTGACGATAGACCGTGTCTAGGGACACGATATCGAATAGAAAGTATCGATACTGTACTCATGAGTAGTATCGGAAAAAAAGTATCGTACTCGTAAAAGTATTGAAACAAAAGTATCGATACTTCAAAGTATCGAGTACATTTCATAGGACCTTATAAGCAATGTAGATACTATTAAAAACGTGTAATGTTAATATAATCAACTGCAAAACTAAACGTGAATTACTCAAGTACGTAAGTCTCAGGACACACTAGATTGCTTCTGCTTCCAATTATATCAACGCAATCGAATGTTTTAGAAGGTTTGCCATGATTCCACTAGATGGCGTTGCCATCAATATAAGGCGCTTATCCAAAATTTTAAAGGTATCGATACTTTTTTTAGTTTAGTTATTTAGTTGAAGTATCGAAAACCAAGTATCGAGTACAAAAGTATCGGTATCGAAAGGAAAAGTACTCGATGCCACAAAGTATCGATACTATTTTCGTGTCCCTAACCGTGTCGAGTCCGAGCCGAGCTTCAGCCGTAACACGGTCACCGAGACGGTCCCGTACCTGTAAATTACAAAGACGTGCCTCGACCGAGCAATTAGGTAGGTACCGTTGCGCCGTGATACAGTCTAATCATTCAGATAAAGTAAACAGGGTAAGTGTACTCGTCCGAGGAAAACGTTTCTGTTTTGTCTGAGGTATCACTACGATTGGCCGGCGGCACCGCGCCGGCGCGCTGTATTCATGCAACGGGCCGTGGCCGAGCCGAAGCGGGACCAAGTTTTTTCCGAGCGTTGGAGCGTTTCATTTGGTGCTTGGTTGTCAGTGGGTTACCGCACGGAATAGCTTGAATGTATCTATAATCCATAAAAAATATATTATTTAATATTAGTTAACTAAAGGAGCTCGATGGCGCAGGTTGAAGTTAAGCAACTTTTGCAGTTGTCGGTCATTGGATGGGTGACCAAAAATCTTCTATCTGGAGTTTCTCCGTACTTCTGAAGGCATGTTAAGCCGTTGGTCCCGGCTGCATCTGCAGTCGTTAGCACCCGTCAATCCGCACTGGACCCGCGTGGTGGGTCATGGCCCAATCTCCCTATTCCATTCATAGGGAAGGCCTGTGCCCCAGCAATGGAGACATTAATAGCCTGATGATGATGATTAGTTAACTCTGCTACGGCCGACACGGTCTAACGTATATCATCCTTGAAAATTTCCTAGGAACCTACGGTTATAAATTTCGGTTTCGGTCAGAGGTTGTTATTATCCCTTCGGCTGTTTTGTGAAGATTTTGTACTCATTTATTTTAGAATCCGAGATGTAACGAAACGTAACCTATTTTTATCTTTTTTTGTTTCTATCAGTTTTGGCGATATCGTCCCAAATCCCAATTAATCATTTGGTGAATGCCAAGTACTTTCGGATGTATAAAAGCAAACAAACCGTAGGAACTTATTTCGTCTTAGGTTATAATTAGCTTATAAAAAGTGGGAAATAAAAACATTTCCAACAAATATTAAAAATGGCTTCATAAAAACTAAACCACTGAAAACAAAGGAACAAAATACATTAAAGTTTAAAGTACCTACATTTAAAGTCAAAATAACATTTGGATTGGAATTGGTGATTGGAATGCATATCGCTGACACCATAGGTACCTATTATTTGTTAATTATTTGACTATGTACTTTAGATATGAGTGGGGACTGTAGGTATTACTTAAGGAATTAGCACATAGATGTCTTACCTTTTTAGCTTGTTTTTTATACCTATGAAGTGGATTTTTATTTATGTTAAAAAAGATTTTACCTTAAATTATTTAGTGTTTTATACAAGATATACGTATACATTACCTACGAAGGACCACAATAGCGCAAGTGTAACGCGTTCGTTCTGCGATCGTGAACGTTAAGTAACTTCCACAATGGCCGATCTTAGGATGGGTGACCAACCAAAAATGTATTAAATCGAGTTTCTATGTTGTTGCTCGCTGCATCTGCAGTCATTAGCCCCCACTAAGCCGCATTAGGCCTGCGTGGTGGCTCATGACACATTAATAGGCTCATAATAAATCCGCATCGTAACATAGACTTATCTACCTTTTAAAAAAAATAAAAGATCTAGCTAATATAGGTATTATTATCACCGTCGTCGTTCATTATTGTATAAAATTTATGGCTTATTTTAACGAAATAAACCCATAACCAACCTTAACAACAAGTTCAAAACTTAAGTACATCAATCATTTACCTACTATTTGGCCAGATTATACACATTTAGATTTAGAGAGAACCTCCGTAGGTCCTTCTTAAATTTAGTGTGACATTTCTAATTTTAGAGAAAATATGACATTTAGAACACGTTTCAGAATACCATTTTATCATCTAAATCTAAGTTGAATAACTTAGCGACGTCAATTTTAAATTTAGAGATAGTGTGTCATTACAGAATACCAAATTGAATTTGACAACTCTATATCTAATTTTAGTTAGTTTTAGATATAAGTTGGCACGCCAGAATTGGGCCCAATGTTGTGAAATTTAAGGGTACGGCCAGAGTGCACTCAGATTCAGATTCAGACTCAGAAAACAAGCGCGAGAAATAAACAATGTAGTTTAAGCAGGTTGCCTGCTGCCACTATGGCCACCCTGCTTAAACTACACTGAAAGGGTACGGGTACGGCCAGAGTGCACTCAGATTCAGATTCAGATTCCGAAAACAAGCGCGAGAAATAAACAGTGTAGTCGAAGGGTGCGGCCAGAGTGCACTCAGATTCAGAGTCAGATTCAGATTCTGAAAACAAGCGCGAGAAATAAACAGTGTAGTCTAAGCAGGTTGCCTGCTTTTTCTCGCGCTTTGTTTTCTGAGTCTGAATCTGAATCTGAATCAGGAGTGCAATCTGGCCGTACCCTTCGACTACACTGTTTATTTCTCGTGCTTGTTTTCGAAATCTGAATCTGAATCTGAGTGCACTCTGGCCGTACCCGTACCCTTTCAGTGTAGTTTAAGCAGGGTGGCCATAGTGGCAGCAGGCAACCTGCTTAAACTACATTGTTTATTTCTCGCGCTTGTTTTCTGAGTCTGAATCTGAATCTGAGTGCACTCTGGCCGTACCCTTAAATTTCACAACATTGGGCCCAATTCTGGCGTGCCAACTTATATCTAAAACTAACTAAAATTAGATATAGAGTTGTCAAATTCAATTTGGTATTCTGTAATGACACACTATCTCTAAATTTAAAATTGACGTCGCTAAGTTATTCAACTTAGATTTAGATGATAAAATGGTATTCTGAAACGTGTTCTAAATGTCATATTTTCTCTAAAATTAGAAATGTCACACTAAATTTAAGAAGGACCTACGGAGGTTCTCTCTAAATCTAAATGTGTATAATCTGGCCAAATAGTAGGTAAATGATTGATGTACTTAAGTTTTGAACTTGTTGTTAAGGTTGGTTATGGGTTTATTTCGTTAAAATAAGCCATAAATTTTATACAATAATGAACGACGACGGTGATAATAATACCTAATACCCTTCGGGTGCGGCCAGAGTGCACTCAGATTCAGATTCAGATTCAGATTTCGAAAACAAGCGCGAGAAATAAACAGTGTAGTCGAAGGGTACGGCCAGATTGCACTCCTGATTCAGATTCAGATTCGGACTCAGAAAACAAAGCGCGAGAAAAAGCAGGCAACCTGCTTAGGTAACACTGTTTATTTCTCGCGCTTGTTTTCAGAATCTGAATCTGACTCTGAATCTGAGTGCACTCTGCCAGCCGGCCAGAGAGATTCAGACTCAGAAAACAAGCGCGAGAAATAAACAGTGGTGCCAATTCTGGCGTGATTCTCTAAACTTAAAACTAAATTTAACATCAGTCTCTCCTATTCATTCGGTATAGATAATGACAAGGATATACTACTGTCAAATTTAAGGTTAGGTTTAGAGAATCATGCTAGAATCGACACCAGTGTAGTTTAAGCAGGGTGGCCATAGTGGCAGCAGGCAGCCTGCTTGAACTACACTGTATATTTCTCGCGCTTCAGATTCAGACTCAGAAAACAAAGCGCGAGAAAAAGCAGGCAACCTGCTTAGACTGCACTGTTTATTTCTCGCGCTTGTTTTCAGAATCTGAATCTGAGTGCACTCTGGCCGCACCCTTCGTTTAGATAAAGAGAATCGTGCCAGAATCGACACCATTGTCTATATTTTCATTTTGTATTTAAAAAATTTAGAGTGGTGTCAATTCTGACACGATTCTCTAAAGCTTAACTTAAATTTGACAACGGTGTATCCTTGTCATTCTCTTTAAGGATTGAAAAGGAGAGATTGATGTTAAATTTAGTTTTAAGTTAAGAGAATCACGCCAGAATCGACACCAATATCATGCCAAAATCGACACAATTGTCAACCTTGACTTTTGCTAGTAGTGTAGATCTTTGGTGTAGATTTAACGCAGCTCTGGTCTTGTGCTTTTTTTTAATCTGTGCTCTCGAAACTACGGATTCGGAAGTTGAGAGTTGGTGTGAGGTGTACAATCTGAAATGTTGAATTCTTTGTTTTTTTCTAATCCTGAAGTCTTGTTTTGAAGATTGTCGAATACCTACCTAACGTTAACTGATTAGAAAAACGCCGCCTTAACTATTTATTTATACAAATAGTTTAGTAGCAATGTTTTCCCGAAGAAAAATAGTTTTAACGTGTTTAGTGATAGTTTGCACAGTTGTTGCAGTGTGGGGTCATTCACACTCGCATGAAGATGAATCGCCAGCGTTCAAATACTCCAAAAGTGCGAATGAACCATATAAAAAGGAAAAGGCAAAAAAAACCAACGAATCTGATTACGATTTATACGTGAAAGCGTTAAGTTCGACAATATTTATTAGTATAGTGCCATTTTTCATACTTTTCTTTATACCTATTGACGGGACTGTCGAAAAGCAACCTTTGCTAAAAATCTTATTGTCCTTCGCGTCCGGCGGTTTGCTCGGCGATGCATTTCTGCACTTAATTCCGCACGCTTTGGTGCCTTTGGAACAAGGCGCTGGGCACAGTCACAGTCATAGTCACTCAGATAATAGTGAATCACATGGCCCACATGATTCTACCGTAGGACTTGGTGTACTTGGTGGAATCATAACATTCCTTGTTGTTGAGAAGACAGTGCGACTATTTGACGGAGGACATGGTCATTCTCATGGTCCAGAAAAGAAAAAAGGGGATGATTCAAAGAAGATTCGGAATAAAGAAAAAAAGCATGAAATAAAAATAGCTGGCTACTTGAATCTCGCTGCTGATTTCACTCATAACTTTACTGATGGATTAGCAATTGGAGCTTCTTTTATTGCTGGAAATAGTATTGGATATTTAACAACTGTTACAATTTTATTACATGAAATACCTCATGAAATTGGTGATTTTGCTATTTTAGTTCAATCAGGATGTTCCCGTCGAAAAGCAATGATGCTACAACTTTTAACTGCTTTTGGAGCCATATCTGGAACAGTTTTGTCTATATACTTGCAAGGCTCTGGGGAAGGAATAGTGTCAGCCCTCATTTTACCTTTTACAGCTGGTGGTTTTATTTATATTGCTACAGTATCTGTCATTCCAGAACTGTTAGAGGGATCTAACAAGTTATCTCAATCTATAAAAGAAATTGCAGCACTGTTAGCTGGTGTTTACATGATGGTAATAATAGCACAGTATGAATAACTAGTAATATATTTCTGTTCATGAATCTTCATAAATTCCTCTTTAAATATTATCCTAGAGATGTTATGAATACTGTGTACAGTTCTGTTGTAATTGATCTATAGATTGTATTCACATCACAGTTGATTTCTTTTCTTAAACATAAATTAAGATCACTAATTGTACATATTAAATAGGTAGATAATATTTATCTGTGACAATGTTACAATAAAACATTACTACATTTTGTTTGTGTGTACTTCATTAATTCTTTTTGCATTCATTAAACGTCCAAATAAGAAGTTTTATTTACCTGATCTGTATCTGAGAGTGAGTGCGCTACAAGATCCCAGTCCCAGTTCAAAAACCATTTCTACCAAGTAAGCCTTCCATTGTACAGGACATTTGCTTGTGAATACAATACATTTTATTTAGTGATCCAAACTACTACTACAGATAAATAGTCCTAGTAAGTAAACCCATTGTTAAATTCTAACAAAGTACAATTAGTTGCCCTAACATTTCCAGGATCTAAAATGATTTAGAACTTTCCTTACAAAAAATATTTGATACTATCAACTGAACAAATGCAAACCTTCCTTAATCTAGTCTCAAAGAATTCGAATAAATTTAATGCTTCACTAAGGCACCAGGTCAGTAGTCTGCACCATGTAAGCTTAGCAAAATTAGGTAGCCACCCTCAGAATCAATTTCACAAAGATTCATAGAAACCAGTAGTGTCGCCTGCAGTCTGCAGCTGCGGCCTATGGTCTGCTGTTCAATTTGGACTTGTACCATAAAGGTGCTATCACTGAGCAAGTATTCTGTTTGGAATGTTTTTTATACAAATGCATATGAACCAGTCATGCACTCACAGCTGCACTTCTTGCAGCCACTGTACATGCTGCCTGCAGCAATTATATTTTAGATTACATTATTACTGTAAAGTCTATTTTATGAATAATCTACAAAAAGGAATAAGCACTTGTATTAAAAAAAAAATTTGATACTATCAACTGAACAAATGCAAACCTTCCTTAATCTAGTCTCAAAGAATTCGAATAAATTTAATGCTTCACTAAGGCACCAGGTCAGTAGTCTGCACCATGTAAGCTTAGCAAAATTAGGTAGCCACCCTCAGAATCAATTTCACAGAGATTCATAGAAACCAGTAGTGTCGCCTGCAGTCTGCAGCTGCGGCCTATGGTCTGCTGTTCAGTTTGGACTTGTACCATAAAGGTGCTATCACTGAGCAAGTATTCTGTTTGGAATGTTTTTTATACAAATGCATATGAACCAGTCATGCACTCACAGCTGCACTTCTTGCAGCCACTGTACATGCTGCTTGCAGCAATTATATTTTAGATTACATTATTACTGTAAAGTCTATTTTATGAATAATCTGCAAAAAGGAATAAGCACTTGTATTAAAAACTAAAAGACAGTGGTGTATTTACTGTTTTATTGTTAAAATTTACTTCTTCTTGGAGACACCAACAGTTCTGCCTCTTCTACCAGTGGTCTTAGTGTGCTGACCACGTACACGGAGACCCCAATAGTGGCGCATACCCCTGTGGGCACGAATCTTCTTAAGCCTCTCGAGATCTTCACGAAGCTTAGAATCCAAATTAGAAGAAGTCAACTGACTGTATTTGCCATCAACAATATCTTTTTGTCTGTTCAAAAACCAATCTGGGATCTTGTATTGCCTGGGGTTTGACATAATAGTTACAATCTTTTCAACCTGCAAAAATGATTTGTTTGAAAATATTGCCAAGGTATACAAGAGCTACTGGATAATATTTCAACATTAGAAGTTTCGATAGTTTAAATCAACTTTTGCTATGTTATGGTTGTAGAACATAGCCTAAGTTTATCAAGTTAAAAAAATACAAATAATAATTAGTAATTTGTAACCTGGTCACTAAACACTGGACATAGGCTAAATCACTGGGTGGTCATCATAATAAACTGAATTAAATGATGAAATTACAATTGTTTAACAGTGTAAACTAACCTCTTCCTCGGTGCACTCTCCTGCACGTTTATCAAGATCGATGTCGGCCTTTTTGAGCACAATATTGGAATATCTTCGTCCAACTCCTTTGATAGCGGTCATGGCAAACATCACCTTACGTTTGCCATCAATATTTGTATTCATGATACGCAAGATATGCTGAAACTTGTCCGGGATTACCAACGACTGCAAAAATATAAGTAATCATTAGATACAGACTTCATCTTGAAACTATTGACGCACGCGAAACCTACGTATTAAAATTGTGGAAAAAATATTGTGATTAATTATAAAATAATTGATTTCGTACCATTTTTGCGGATTAAAATAATCCAACTCCACGATCAACCCACTAGCAACAAGAAAAAGAAACAGTCAGCTGTCACTGTCACAGAACTTTTTTTTTTTGTTCAATTCTCGCTTTTCAGGGAAGGCAAGGGGAACAATGCCCATACAGCCTAATCTAAAGTTAAATTATTCTGTTTTTCTTTTTACATTAGAATGTCGGTGTGACGCATTCTAATGTTTCTTGAAGTATTTGGCACGAAATGTATCGAGCTGGCTTTTTCGATAAGCTTCTGTGAGGTAGTCAATACTACAATAAAAGTCTCACGTCCACTTGACCGGAATAGCGTATATTTTGCCGATTCTACTAATTCTTCAGTGACGCAGACAGTTGTAACACAAAATCACACCAATTTTATTTCACAATATCCACTATGAATGAATTTAAGAATAATTAAAATAAGACGCCAACCACACTCAATGAAATCCCGCCAAAAACTCCAGAACTTTTTTTTTAGTTCCATTCCTCTCTATTGGGAAAGGCAAAGGCAAAGCTATGCAGCCATCGTCTTATTTTGTATGAATTTTCCTTTTTTACATTAGAATGTAGGTGTGACGCATTCTATTTTTTTTGTTGGAGTGTATGGCCCGAAATGTATTGAGTCAGCTTTCTGGATAAGCTTCTGTAAGGTAATCAACATTACAATAAAGTTCTCACATCCACTTGACCGATATAGCGAATATTTTAAAAAATCCGTTAATTCTTCAGTTGCGCAGACGATTGTAACACAAAAATTCACAATATCCACTATGAACGAATTTAAGTAATATTTAAAATATTACGCCAACCGCACTCTATGAAATCCCGCCAAAAACTCTGTCACAGATTTTTTTTTGTTCTATTCTTCTCTATTGAGAAAGGTAAAGGCATAGCCATGCAGCCATCGTCTTATTTTTGTATTAATCTTCCTCTTTTTTTACATTAGAATGTGGGTGTGACGCATTCTAATGCTTCTTGGAGTGTTTGGCACGAAATATATCGAGTTGGCTTTTTCGATAAGCTTCTGTGAGGTAGTCAATTCTACAATAAAATTCTCACGTCCATTTGACCGGAATAGCGTATATTTCAAAGATTCCACTAATTCTTCAGTGGCGCAGACGGTTGTAACACAAAATCATACCAATTTTATTTCACAATATCCACTATGAAGAAATTTAAGAATAATTAAAATAAGACGCCAACCACACTCGATGAAATCTCGCCAAAAACTCTCTGTCACAAAACTTTTCTCTCCGTTGACTTATGTTTTTTTTTGCTCACCAAGCCATTCAGCCTTAACTTGACTTAGGGTGCGGCCAGAGTGCACTCAGATTCAGATTCAGATTCTGAAAACAAGCGCGAGAAATAAACAGTGAAGTCTAAGCAGGTTGCCTGCTTTTTCTCGCGCTTTGTTTTCTGAGTCTGAATCTGAATCTGAATCAGGAGTGCACTCTGGCCGTACCCTTCGACTACACTGTTTATTTCTCGCGCTTGTTTTCAGAATCTGAATCTGAATCTGAGTGCACTCTGGCCGCACCCTAAGTCAAGTTAAGGCTGAATGGCTTGGTGAGCAAAAAAAAACATAAGTCAACGGAGAGAAAAGTTTTGTGACAGAGAGTTTTTGGCGAGATTTCATCGAGTGTGGTTGGCGTCTTATTTTAATTATTCTTAAATTTCTTCATAGTGGATATTGTGAAATAAAGCTGTTTATTTCTCGCGCTTGTTTTCGAAATCTGAATCTGAATCTGAATCTGAGTGCACTCTGGCCGCACCCGCACCCTTAGTTTATGATTATATTGACGTCATAGCATAGATAATCTATAGACTAAAATGGCCGACAGCGTTTTTGTATGTCCATGAAAAATCTATTTTAAAATTAAAGTTTTGTAGCTTTCTAGGTCAAAACTAAATACATTTTTTTTTCGGTCTGTTAGAACAATTATTAACCATTTTTAATATATTTCCAAAAAGTGTCAAGTAGCCTATTCACATTTCACTTCACTATTGAAATGTTTCAAAACGGCTGTCATTACTTAATAGGCCATAGTTTTCGGTATCAGTACCCTTAGTACAAGTTTGTGCTCACGAAAACTATCATAGTTTTCGTAATTGTAAATTATGTTTCTATGTCCATTTTGGTGAAAACTAGCCAAATATATTTAAAATTTATGAAAAAAAAAATGTATTGTATTTGTTTTTGACCTAGAAAGCTACAAAACATTACATTAGGATTATATCACTAAAGCATAATTGACCTGCAGATGTGATGATCACGTAAGAATTATCCTGAATCTAAATTTATATTCTCATAGATTTCCTGATAAATATAATAATTATTATGATTGTTTTATACAAAAATGTAGAAACACATCGTTAAAGATTCCAGAAAAGTAGTGGTTTAAATTGCCTAGAGAAATACACACACATGAACACAGTCATGTTTAAAAGTTGCTAAATCCCTAACCTACACATGAACACAGTCATGTTTAAAATTGCTAAATCCTGTAATTTTACCGTCTGAAAGTCTTGTCTTAAAGCAAAGATCACTTTAATGTAATAGAATTTTTAAGGTTATGAATGTACCTACTAAGTCAATGAGTTTTGTCGTTTCTGCTTTCACCAATCCGCGTCCAGCATTCATTTAGTCAACAAAACCAATAAACGGCATTTTTTCTACAATATGTAATAGTATTTAGATATATTTTAGTCCGACGAAAGACACCACAGTAACACGACAATGGTGTCGATTCTGGCGTGTCAGAGTCGACACCATTTACTAACTTGTTGAAGCCACAATCATAGTGGACAGCGTTTTAAGTGTTTACGAAAAAACCATTTTTCAAATTAAATTACTACAGCCATCTTTTAATTTTATGATATGAAATCGATGTATTTAGGTTCCCTAATACCAAACATTATAAGAAATAAACATTTGTATAGTGTTATTTGACATGAGTCAACCAGCCTATTTGATATCTACAAAAATACAAATGTAATCAAATGTGAATCTAATCTAGAAAATATATTTTTGGAAGTTTAACCAGTACAAGTAGCAGCTGATTAAAAATATTGAATAATACGAAAATATTAACGATTACTTACTTTCAGCAATCCTGTATTGATTTAATTCTTGTAAATTTCGTATTTAGAAAAATATAAATGCCAAATTACGTAGTGAATAAGGACATAACAATTACATTATTATTTGAGTGATATAACAGTTTTGATGATAGTAATAATAAATAAAATTAAGTTATTTAGTAAACCATATCCCTCTAAGATTCTGTAAAATGGCGATTTTTTTTTATGCTTATCATGATATTATAATTAATTGTTTTTAAAGTGAAAATATTTCCGAAGCCACATTATACAGTACCATATTAGTATTTAGACTTTAATATTACGTAAACAAATCTATTAATTTTAGTTAATATTTATTTTTTCAAACATGTAATTAATAGTATAATAATAAGTTTATCAATAATCAAAATATATATAATCTAATTACATAATTACTCTATATATAAATTCTAGAACAATAAAACTAAAACTAAAAACCTTGAAAAATAAAATTAATAACTAAAATATATTATAATTTTTATTATTTTTAAAGCATGTAACTGCTGTAAAATATATTATTAAAAGGAGTCCGTTGCTTTCCAATTACAGAGCATAATGCGACTCAGTGCCGCACAATGCCGAATTATGCTGATGCTTAATTGGAACGTGAATTAGTTTTCAAATGCACCAGCAGACTGCGCTAAGTTCAGTGCTGAAAAAAAAAGTCAATGTTTGTACCTTCATCCATATTTATATTTAATTTCTAACACAGTTTGAATTAACTTTGATTATTTGAAAAAAAACTATAATGAAACGAAAGTTTTAATAATTTTTCAACAATAAATAATATTACTAACGATAACATTTAAATAAAACATTTCGATCAATGCCAACTTAAAGAAAAAACACTTGTTAATTTTCTGTCTCTAAGTTGGTACGATTACACGCATCACACGAAAGCATCACTTTTGAGAGTGCTCAATGAGGGCTGGGCTATCGTTTTTTGTCTCACCAGATGGGGCCACTGTTGAGTGAGGTCCTGAAGTGTAACTTTTAATGTTAGTAAACACGCTCGTGATATCAAAGTTTACATTTTAATACAAAAGAATCGTATCTTAAACATAATCGCCCATGCCACAGCGTTGCGCAGTCCCGTTTTGTTCGGAAAAAAGAAGGACAATATTTTTTTCTTAGCTCCGCTTTTAAATAACTGACAATCATTGACACGTAACTCATATTTGCCATAATAATTCTGATTTATTACCAAATATTCACAACTATTATTTTAATTAGAAAAAAAACCGCGTAGTCAACCCGCAAGCTATAACATTTGACATTTCGGAGACCTCACGCAACACAGCGGCGGTTTCAGACGCGATAGCCCTCAGTGCGAAGCGCTGCTGTAGTTGGAACACTCAACGTTAAGCATTATGCCGCATACTGCGCTATAATGCTGTAATTGGAAAGCTACCCCTTTATGCAAGAATCCGAAGATACTGGCAGCGTTGCCCCTTTAATATTTGAAATTTACTTAAGCTATTTGAAAATTGAAATTTACGCTCTAAAATTACCGATACGATGAATTTTATGATTAGTGCTCATCACTTAAGTGACAATGAAGGACAACAATTAGGTCCTTCGACAAATTTTTATGAGTCTTCATGGGCGTGTTAACGTAGAAACGCAGGTTAATACGGTCAGCAAACTCATCATATTGCAAAGTAAAAATAAAACAGGATATTTAAACAAAAGATTTTTATTATCTTATAAATAAAATTATTTAAAATCAATCTATCGGCTCGGTCATTGTCTTTATGTTTGTCTCCAAATACCTATCCCTAGACAATACCATTCGATTTTTTTACTAATGACCAGCGGAGCAAAGAACAAAGATTATGCATACAAAAGTACCTTTATGCTGGAGTTGATTTTATTGGGATCACATTTGATGGGTGTGTCCCAAATATCGCAGCTGCTGAAATCTAAGGCTGTCTTAGTTAC